GGAGAAAAATTGGCCACCATTTTTTCCTCTTATCCATCATGATATTACAAATGAAATACCCATCCATCTACAACACATTCAGTATGTTGCCTTCACAACGTTCTTGGGTGAGTGGACGTGATGCTCAGTCATGAAAGTTACATTCTTGTTTGAAAGTCCTGATGCTAGTTGTTTGCTGGTTTCTCATGATAGTTTAGCTAACTTTATATGACAGTAATGTTAAAAGTTGAAACTTAAATGGCAAATAAAACCTTAATATGGTGATGCCATATTATTTATCAAATCATTTCCCAATATTATGGTTTTTGATACTGTTTATTCTATCTGAATATCATATTTTTTAATTCACGTGGATGCACTTGGAGTTGAGGTTTTGAGGTCTGTCAGCTTAACGAGAAATCTCATGCCCATGATATTTTGTTGTCGTCAAGTTTTAGCTGCCAACCCTCAACTTGTGGTATGACCCTTACAACCACCATCAGACTTGATCTTCTCAAAATAGACAGCTCGAGTTCTTTTAATTAATCAGTATGTCTAGCAATTATGTAATGGAAGCAAAATCATTAGTGCTTTTTGACGTTATTGATTAGTTAAATTGTGGGTTAAGGAAGCATCTTTCCAATTATTCAGTAGTGAAAAGGATTAGTCTACTTGTGTATCTTTTTGACTTGTAGATGAAAGGCATGCTGACATTTATCATCTGCCCTCATTCCACACTACATCATCCTGGAGCACCCTTCCCTTTCCCTCTTCATCCCTCACTATACACAAAAGGGAGAATTCAAATGCATAGCACTTTCCATCTTTCCAGGAATGATTGACTTTTTATAACGTAGATTATGTAGCTAAATCTAGTGCAGTTTCCCTCTGTTCCATGTGAATCAGTTATGACAGTTTGATTCACGTTTGAATTTAGGTTTGGTTGTGTGCCTTTTGTGGAACATTGTAGCAGTTACGGTTGCTTGGATCAAAGGGGAAGGTAAGTTGATCCCCATTATATGCCAGTTATCCTTCAAAATATGTTGTCTTCTATGGGTTGTTACTATAATTATTCCTCATGTAGGTCCAACAATATGGTTTCTTGCGATTATCTACTTCATATCTGGTGTACCTGGAGCATATGTTGGGTGGTATCGGCCTCTCTATCGTGCTACAAGGTATAACCCAAGGGAACTATGTCGTTTCCTTCACTACCTTGAAAGAAGAATCCCCTCAAATCACAGCCCTTAGTGTTAATTGTACTTTATGGGATTTTTTCAATAGAGAAATCAATATTACTCTTATATGAGTCGAGGAAGCTGCAAGAACCTGTATTATGTGATAACTGATAGGAAAATACCTTAAGATATGTACTAAATTAGGCCAGAGAGCATGTTGTTTCTCTGGAGAGAAGGAACATTCGTTTGTCCAAAGAAGTTGCTTTGGTGTGGAGCTGATGAATAGGTAGTATTCAACAAATTTATTTGAGGAAAAGTACTCTCTTGTTCCATTTAGTTTGAGATATAGTTCGATTTGGTGTCTCACATTTAAAACACCGTGGTTGGCCCTCTTAGTTTGAAAATTAGTTTTTTTTTCTTTCTTAAAAGAAACCACACTTCTATTGGGAAACATGAAAGTACATAACATGGTAACACAAAAACAACAGCCCAACTAGAGGAGTCCAATCAAAGAAGGGTCTTCAGTCGAAAAGAATTAAGCAAAGCTCATAATGCGAGTAGCAGAAGCCCACAACAAGTTGTTAGGCCCCCCCAATTTCACGTCCAATACGAGTCTTGAAAACATATGCACACTCATCCCAAACTTGGTCATCTCTGCCGAGGTCATATTTCTGAACTGGTATATTGATTCATAACTTATTTGTGAGTAGTAGAAATTTAGCTCTTATGACAAGTGATCTGTATGTTGGTTTGGTTGGTTTGTGGCACTTATGACAAGTTAGATAATTTACATTTACAGGACCGATAGTGCTCTGAAGTTTGGGTGGTTTTTTCTAGTTTACTCGGTAACCTCACAACTTTGCATTTCAGTTACTTTTCCAGCTATGAAGATGTTTTGCTTTGTTTCCCAAGTTAACAAATTTGTTCTTCCAGATTCATATTGGTTTCTGCGTATTTTCTTCAATTGCTCCTCCCATTATATTTAGGGGGAAGTCTCTTACGTAAGTTTTGAAGCCCTTATATGAAAATAGAGGGTTATACTTGTTGAACAACTAATATTTTATCTTAATTTTCTTGAGAGAAGTTAATGTTTGTTTGATGTGTTTTTTTCAGAGGTATCTTACCTGCTATAGACTTGTTGAGTACTAATGCTGTGGTTGGGGTAAGTTCTACTCGAGATTGCATGTCTGTGTATATGCTTTGAAATGCTATCTATTATGCTAAGATCAACAAATATAGGTATTCTGGATTATAACCTCCCTCTCTCTTGAGTTTCAAGTTTTAAATCCCATGTTAAAAGTTAGAATGCTAGTACATGGCTTGATTTTATGTGTGAACCCCTGTATTAAGGCACCCGACATCTTTTCCAATTTGGCTCTCTTGCTACTCAACTTATATATATAACAAAATTGGACTTTTGCATTTAAGCATATGAATGTTTGCTGCCAAGTATCCAACTACAAAAGTAACCATGTCAGTTATTATTTGATCTTTTACTCGTATGAACATAGTGATTTTCTAAGTTTGTATATTGGTTTCGGTTTGAAGTCTGCTACTTAATGATTAATGACACTTGTCACAGACATTCTACTTCATTGGTTTTGCATTCTTCTGCATTGAATCACTGATCAGCATATGGGTTATCCAGGTTTGTATCTCACGAAGAAATGTAACATCTTCCTCGTATGCCTTCAATTTGTTTTGATTCCCACTGAAAAACTTCATACATCCAATTTGCAGCAAGTTTACATGTATTTCCGAGGTAGCGGTAAGGCCGCAGAAATGAAACGTGCAGCCGCCATGGGGACCCTGAGGGCAGCTTTTTGATATGAGCATCCAAACTGGTTTGCGCAAGGAAAATCCATTATTTTGATAACCTTAATTAAACCAACAGTTTACATATAGCGAGGTCCCTTACCGCTTGACCCTTCATTGTTATTGTTTGCATATAGTGAGATTCTTGTATTTTATTGTTATTGCTTTTTTGGGGTTAAATTATAAAAAAATACGCTTGACCCTTTATTCAAAAGTATTTGTATATTTTCAAAAGTTACCATTTTTGTTTCTAAACTACTATTGGAGGATAAATCTTTTATGATTTTGGATGGAAATTGACTTAGAACAGTAGCCATTATGAGCCTTGAGTTCAGGTTCCATTTGAAGGCCACAACCTTGATGTTTTACAAGCAGCAGAACAGAGGTTAAAGGGTGTTTAGGCACACAAGCTCTATCATCTTCTTGGCTATTCTTTCTGCAATGGCAGAGTTTTTACAGGTTATGCAAGTTTCTTCTTCCTTTTATTTATTTATTATTATTTTTTTTCTTAGCGTCTAGGTGGGAGTTTTTAAAATCCCTAAAAATGATTTATTGGGCTGTTTGACTTTTCAAGTTCCCTTGATTTTGGTTGCTAATCTAATTTAATGGTGTTAGATGAGATTTCTATAAATTCTTTGTGCTTTGACTTTCATAATTTTGTATTGTACAACATGACAAAGTGGGATTTTCTTTTCCCTTATTTGCCTAACCATATTGAATCTCATTGGTTAATTTTGTTACTTTCCTAACTCCTTTTTAATACTCTTTAATTGATTACCCAATATATAGTGATATCTTGAACTACTTTTTACGCTTCCACCTAAAAAATATTATAAATTATTAATACCTTCTTTGTCCCTCGACAGTTTGTAACTAAACACATGGAGTGTCCTCACTGCAGGACTAAGCGTAATGAGGCGTATTATGGCACGAGCTAACGATAATCATGCATCACCCATGTCTGTGTCTGTGTTGTTCATGCAGGTTCGCAGCAACATGTCAAGCCTTAATAAAGTTCTTCCACCATATGCATCAGTACCTGTCAATTTCTTTGAATTTGATTCTCTTTGAATTTGATTCTTGTGAACGTACTCTTAGTCGTGTGATTGGAAAATAAGGCACCATAATATTCTTCTAGAGTTGGTATAATTATTGGTAATGTAGTAGGGTAGCCGAGTGCAAAGAGTGGAAAGATTGGAGGGTAGAAGTGCAAGTGCAAGTGCAAGTAGTGGGAATGCCCATAACATAAAAAGAGACCAATCAGAAGCCGCCATTCACATACAGTGCATCTAATCTAAACAGGGGCAGCTCCATAATTAATTAATTAATACTCAAATCCATCCGTTCCAGCTGTACGGCCAGGATTTGATTCCAACATTTACCCTCCAACTGTTTTCTAATGACCGACCAAAATGACACGCACCCTCCCATTAATGCCCATTCCCATCTCTCTTCTTACTGAAACCTCATCTCGTGTGACTTAACTAACTTCCATGTACTATTTCGTACTTTCACACTATTCTTCTTCTTCTTCTTCTTCCCCCCCCCCCCCCCCCCCC